ACACTCGCCTCCTTGACCGCTTTGCAAAAATGTTTGGAAAACTTTTTGCAGCTTCGACTTATGGACAAAACCGTAATAATTATTTCTGGGTGTTTTTTCAAAAATATTTCGGCGAACTGAAAAAGTGAAAGTTTATAATCATTTATATGGAAAACTCTTGTGGTATTTCTTCACTTTTAGGTCAATATTTCTAAACAACACCGTCTCTAAACAGAAAAACAGCTTTTTTTCTAACGTTTCACTCTAAAATACTGACAAACTGAATCTTTTATGCAAAAAAATTAAGAGATCAATTTTACACGAAAACTCGTCGACTTTCTTTGGAAAAATCTAGATGACTTTTTTTAGTTGTTTGAGCAAAGTAGAAAAATGTTACTCAGAAAAAATGTTGATCACCTTCTTTTAGATGTGAAAATTCCAGTCTCGGGTCTCATAAAGCTTTAATAAATGACTTATAACTCATGAACCGATGAGTTATAACTCGTTAGCTCAGAGAGCGGCAACAACTCCCAGGTCTATGATGCATACGTTTGGATGCTCCTACTCAATATCGAAACGGTTCCAAAGAATTTTGTGTCTATTTTTATGTTCCTCAGATGTAGCGATTGCAAGTTTCCAAATTATCACCCTATATTAAAAGTTAGGCAATGAGCTGAACTTACTGTTAACATTGTTGGGGTTGGTTCGGATACTATTCAACTCCTCCACTCGTAACGTGCCGGGCTGCTTCCTGTCGATCAAAAAGTATGTGGTCATATCGCCTTTTCCCTTCACTTTCACTTTGCCTCGGCATTGGAATTCGTAGGGATGATTCTTCAGCACTTGGTAAACTTCTTCGGTAACTTGAGTGTGGTTGGGTAGCCCGGTTGAGTCCATCCGACTCGCCACATTTACGGTGTTCCCCCAGATGTCGTATTGAGGTTTTCGAGCCCCAATCACGCCTGCCACCACGGGCCCAATGTTGATACCTAGAAAATTCCCCTGCGGATTGACTCCCAGCAAACGCTTCACAAACTCACCGACGCGCAGCATGAAGTTGTTGTACGAGTTTTCGTTTATGTTGAGCAAACGTTCTCGCATGGCGAACACAAACTCGACCAAAGTGCCCAGATGCAGTCCAGCTGTTGCCTCATCCTCGTCCAGAATCCGCAGATCGGGCATCAGGCCAACCGCTGCCATATACGTAGAACCCACAGTTTTAATCTTATCGATCGCCTTAAACCGCTCCTCGCTGAGCAGGTCGTCAAAATCGGCTATGATTTCGTTCAATAGCCGAAGGCATTCGACGCCCTGATTGTTGCCATCCAGTTCGGTGTAAAACTCGTGATAGTTGGTGATCGAAGCGAAAACCACACCCACGCGCGAGTAGCTTTGATGGTACAGTTCCTGTGATAGAGTATTCTGTAAGAGAATGGTTGGGATTTCGTCAATTTGCACTTGGGTGCAGCCAACATCTAAGAACGGGAAATTAAACTGACAGAACAGAAAAACATCAACTTAGATGAGATCAAATTATAAATGTTGCCCACACATAATCAAAAAGAAAATTTTCCAGGTAAGTACATTAAAAACCAGAGCATAACTAGGAAAGTTCAAGTGGCAGCAAAAAGGACAAAACCGTACAAAAGAAAGTCTACTATCCAGACCATGAATTTGAGCAAAGCTCTAAAATTTGGGGGTTTTCTAAAACGAAGTTCAATCCTCTTCTGGTTGAGAAAGACTGCAAAGCCCTGGCTGTTAATGCGCCAATAACTCTTACCATATTGCTTCGGAACTGATTATCCAGAAAATGAGTTGCAACGTGGGCAGGCAGCAAATTGAACAGGATCCTCTTATTGGAGTGCTGCAACGCGTCCATCTCCCGTTTTTCCTCGTTGGCCTGCACCTGCCAGAGAAAATCCAGCCTGGCCGTCCATTCCACTTGCCTGCCATGTAGAAGAACGGCCAGCACAAACATCAGCACCTCAACCACGCTGAGCACATGCACTGGAATCACTGATCTGGAAACCGCCTGGGATTAAAATCCTCCATTACCCAAACCGGCAAAGACTCACCCCACTCGGCTATCGTAACAGTTGAAGAGGTCGATATGAGACAGCTCGATGAGGAGGACGTAAATGGTGGACATCACAAAAAGGAGAGAAGCTTTCAGTAGGATGGGGAGCCTCAAGAAGATGGCCACTGCCAAGTACCCAAGAGCGCAAGATAGAACAATGTATTGAGGCAATGGGCACGCTCGATGGTCCCTTTCCAAGGGCGATCCAGTATCCAGAGTGACGTTCAGAGTACTGTGGGAAATGCACGGCTCCTCCGCCCTGCACGTGAACTAAAACGCCCGAAATCACTACCTAAGCACATTTTGCTCCTTCGTACATACCACATTAACTTGGGCCATTGTGTAGATTAGCACGATGGTGAACATGGTGATGGCCAGTCGCAGAACGAAACTATGGGAAATATCCCATAGAATCCACCTCAAGCGCACTGCCAGCAGCAATATGAGCAGGGCAGAGATCCAGATGAACGCCACAAGGAACAACAGCAGCAGGATGATGGTGCGGGGCAGAACTGTGGCCTGAAGAGTGCCGAGCAGGAGAAGAAGAACAAGAGCGCAAGCCAAAGTGGAGCTGTAGCCTACGTCCAAATCGCCGTGATACTGAAAATCGACTTTTAGCGGATCCCAAAAGCAAACAAAATATTTGCAATCACTTACTTGACTTTCTTTGTTCTTGTCCTTGAAGCACAATGTGAAGAGGCTGACATGAGTGGACTTTTCCCTATCCACACTTCGCGCTTCAATGGCCTGCGCCAGATACTTATTCACGCGATTGGACGGCTGATGGTAGACACTGGAATGGCGCTTTTTAAAGGGCCTTTTAAACTTCTCCGTCACTTTATTCTAAAATTCAGGAAACCCCGATTAGAGCAGGTTAAGCTGCAGTAATAAGTAGGCGGATAGACTGGAAAGAAGGTCTTTGAGCCAGTCAGGACACCGTTCAATGGGCTTGAATGATTGGTTTATCCCACTCGATCAAAAAACAAACAAAAATAGAGCTGTGCCAATTCGTGGCAAAGCTTGTCGTTACCTGAGGAGTTTGCTCATTTTTATAACAACCTGTGAAAGCCCCCGAGAGTTTAAGATGCAAATGCACACACAGAGCAAAGGTTTTTGCACAATTAGCGAGTCGGAGGGCTAAATGCATTGTTGAAACTGGCCCAAAGACATGAAAGGATAAGCTTGAAAGCGTTTTTGTGTTTCGCGAGCTTAGATTGCTGACAACTGGATTCGAAACCACACAAGAGAGAACAAGCGGTTAGTTCGTAAAGGTTAATTCTGTTAGACAACAGGCCGTTTCAGTCTGGTTAGTTACCGGGACTTGGGTTAAATAAAGTTAGCTTTAAACCATGGTCTGGAGTCTGGCTTGAATTATGATCATTCAAAGCAAAACTAAGTCCTAGTTCAGTACTTCTGTGTTTGCGATTAGTAGATAGGCAGATCACATGGAAAAAGGAAACGCTTTACATTAGATCAAATCAAGAATGAGAACTCTACACTCCACAGTTAAAAGAGAAAACAGATTAAGAACAAAGGCCGGAAAAGGCTAGTGAGTGCGACTCACATGGCTGCTTGTGGCCTGAATGGTCGATCGAGTTTGGTCTTGAGAGGGTGAAATTTCGGCGTGGAGCACCCTTTGCAGTTCTAGCACCTACAAGCCACATTAGACCAACTATACACTAAGCTACGTGTTGTTAGACACAACATTTACACCTGCTTCCACTGATATTCCCAGCCACTTTCCCAAAAGACAAATCATAATGTTAACTGAACCAACCGCATTTAATTGGGGTTGATAGGCGGGGAATAAGTAGAAACAATTTGATTATTAATTAACACAACATATGAGCAGGACCGTGCAAGCAACTAAATTCCTGCATCGGGTGATAAGAAAACCGTGTCCCAAAATCGAAACTCAGTTATTTACAAAAGTAACTCTGAAATAAACAAACAAATGATAATGATCTTTGAAATCGGTTTCCACTCTTAGTTACTGGCCATGTGGGCAAATAAGGGTGAAAACAACGACACAAACCCCCGTTCCGAAACAAAAACATGAAAAATATATAAAGAAAGCGCTTTTAAGTAGCTTTGGAAAATTCACTCACATTCCTACTAGACTGAGCATCTTGTACCGGTTCACCCGAAGGGTCTCTGTGAAGCACCCTCTGCAGGTCTGCTACCTATAAGCCATACATGATACAGAGTATTTCTAACAAATTCGACGCCTAAAGGGAATGATCGATGGCAACAGGAAGAAATGCAAAAATCAATCTGAATACGTGGGATTTAAGTCATGGCATAGAATTTGTTGAAAATGCCCCGCTCGGATGTCTAAGACTGATCAAATCGGCAAATTCTGTGCATTTTTCAGCGACCTAGTTTAACTAAAATTGCTATTTGGGTAATTGCAAAATCGCGTTGAATTCAATATATAAAATAAGAATGTTCAGTTCAACTTTGCACATTTACATAGATTCATTGCATGGCCTAGAAAATGAGATTGAAGCTGAATGCGTCTTGTTTCGCTTTAAAGCATTTATTTTGTAAACTTATATTAATTTATTATTTTGTTTCTCTCGAATTTTTTGATCCTTTTCAGATTTCTGCGCCTTTTCCCTCATTGTAAACTTCTTGTTCTATTAAATGGGAAAACAAAACAAATTTTATTTGTTAATGGAGAGATATTGCAGCTATACCACTAATAGTGCCGCAGTTAAATTGTCATCTACACATGCGCATTTCATTTTAGTAAGGCTTGCCACTAATAAGATTTGTGCCTGCCGTTATTTGTGCTCGCCTTACGCTTGGCATAAGTTGATTCCTTGATTCATATTTTACTTCGGTGGATTCCGTGCCACCTTGATGCATCGCCGACTTCTCAAAGCACTTTTTAAAAATTCCTTTTTTTATTCCCAAGACACACTTTTAAATGATTGATTTAACACCGGCAAAGACACATTAACACATTTTATAATGCAAACAGCGCCTTATTTTGCCATAACATTGCTTTAAAAGGGAAGTAGTGCCTGCTATTAATTTAACTACAGCCTGCAATTATTAGTGAACCTGACACATGTTTTTCTATCTCTTTAATGCTTTTCATGACTAAAATAAAATGTGAAAAATATTTTTTTTTTGTTTTCCAAAGGGCACCAAGTTCCCTCCAGAGCCAGAGACGAATTTTGAAAAATATTCGCAATTATTGTTTAAAATCGTAAAACTTTAATAATAAAGTGCATTTTGCAACTACCAGTGGCTGATCAATCCAAAAAAGTAAAGCAAAAATCAATATAGATTCTCAACAGACCGATTTGCTGCGGTGTAGTGCATGTTGTGATCGAAGGAAAAACACTTTTTCATGTGTGAATTGAGGGAAAATAAAAATGCCGTATAAAGGGCAACAGAAAATGATAAAAGTGCCAGGAAAATCACTTTCGAAAGAAAGTAAAATGTAAACTGAACCTGATGATGATACAATGAAGGAAAACACTTACCACTATACTTAATTCTTGCTTACTCAGACTATCTATTCTCTATGTCTAGATTCTGTTTAGTGGTTAGGTGGTAGTACACTTACCGCATCCTAGAAATACAAACGATACAATCATGCAACTTTTAAGCATCGATGTTGTTCTGGTTAATTCATTTCACTTAAGATCTACGCTTTACGACGAAACATTTTTTAAAGTGGCCCATCAAAAAGTGTGTATTAATAGTTATATCTAAGTTAATACCAGGGGATTAGCTACCAAATTCATGCCGCTAATAATGTTTTAACAATGCACATGCTAGTTTTGAGTGAAAATTCCTCAAACAATGTGAATAGGTATTGGTATTATCGACGTGATTTTTGAGGAATTTGGTATTCAAGATACACCTACTACCAATCTACATAGTTAGGCATGCATTTGCTTTCAAGACATATGAAGAGTCGAAATTCAATGGAGTGCAGAACAGCGGTGCTTTTGCCTTCGGCAACAATCGGGAAGTTGGATAAATTTCAGTCAAAAATAGGCATTTTTGTGCATTTTCATCAACCCTATCTGCTACTTTGTGTCGAATATTTGAACGTTTTCAACGCCCTCATCATGTACCAAACGTATAGCAATCATTTCAACTGGTGCCGATTCAGTGACTTCTTGCTCGCTGCCCATCCAGTGTAGGCCTGGGTAACACTGTGTTGAGTTGAGCTATTGAGTTGTTGCCGCTCTCTGAGTTAACGAGTTATAACTCATCGGTTCATGAGTTGTAAGTTTATTAAAGCTTTACGAGACTGAAATTTTCACATTTAAAAAAAGGTCATCAACATTTTTTCTGAGTAACGTCTTACTACTTTGTTCAAGCAACTAAAAAAGTAATCTAGATTTTGCCAGCAACCGAACTCAGTCCAAAGAAAGTCGACGAGTTTTCTTGTAAAATCGATCTCTTAATTTTTTTGCATAAAAGATTCAGTTTGTCGGTATT